TTATTTAAATTTGACCAGAGAGGGACAGAGTGAGAGAGAGAAAGTGAGAAAGTGAGAAAGCGAGAAAGTGAGAAAGCACATCTCAGACTTGAACTGTACCCAGTCATGTGAGAGTCCAGCACCCCCCTAACCACTACACCACCTGCTGACCCCACCATGGCTAAGTTTTTGTTTTGTTTTGTTTTAGAGGTTATTTTGTTATAGGGCACGTGTGCTTGCCAGAAAGAAAGCGAGAACTCACCCGCGGGGGGGTGGGGGGTGGGGGGGGTGCTGTCGGTGGCCACTGCCACAATCCCTTCTCCTCCATTCTTCTCTCGGGATCTTAGGCACGCACATGAGTCAGGCGTGAGACTAAGCCACCCGGTCTGGGACTCAAACCATGATCGACTACATGGGGGTCCAGCGACACAGCCATTACGCCAACTGCTGGTCCCCACAATGGCTAAGTTTTAACAAAGAACTGGCTACATTAGGGCTCAAAACCAACTAAGAGCTGGTTTTCTTTCTTTTTTTTTGGTAGGTAGATTTTAGGGCACTTGCCCTCACCAGAAAAACAGACACAGAAAGCGAGAAATCACCCCCAGCGGATGGCCACACTAATCCCTTCTCCTCCATTCTCTCAGAATGAGTTTTAAGCCACCGGATCCAGGACACAAACCATGATTTACTGTGTGGAAGTCTACCAACATACCTTTATGCCATCTGCTTGGTCCCAGGGCAGCAATTTCTATTTGCTAACTACAGTCTAACAAAAAGTGCAAATCCCTAAGATCTGCTGATCCCAGAAAGAATAGGGTAATAAGTCACCCAGACAACCATGTAGCCATTTTCAGAAGCCCACTCCTTGACTGCTAGATAAAAACCCCTCCTTGCCCCTGCTCCTTTTCACAAGGCAACCCATTCTGGACTTGTCTTTGGGACAAGAAAACTTGGGAGCTTGTCTTTCCGGCTTCTAGTTCTTCCTGATCGAGTACACGAACTCGGCAACCCAGAGATCCTGCAACATTACTATTTCCTTTACCTTTTCCTCTTTTCAAAACACGCAGTGGTTCAACTACCCAGGCCATCCCTGCCACTAAACTTGCAACAATTGTTCCCTTCCTCTCTATTTCCGTTTCTCCCACTCACTCTCATTCACTACAGCGTCCCTCCCGGCCTAGGCAGCCGTGCAGCTGGGATCGCCACCCGCTTAAAGCTCCTACAGCCACTACAGACTCGACTGTGAACAGGTTCCCTCTGTAGTGGCTATCGCTCCTCTATAAATAAAGTTTTATTGAAACATAACAGAAAAAAAAAAAGGCGGCCGTCATTCTTGCTCCAGCAGCCAATCAGAGAGTAGGATGCCTGCGTCCCTCCCGGGACCTTCTGCGGTAGGAATGCGGGGCGGGGCATAAACCAGCCTCCTAGGAGCGGAAGTAGGGCCGGAAGCCGGCCATAGAGTTTAGTGGCCAGAGCGGCTCTACAGGGAGGTGGCAGGGAAGCCTCGAAACAGCTGCCGGAGGGGCCGGAGCGCCGGCCCCGCCCCGTGCACTGGGAGACGCAGCGTGCCGGGCAGGTAGCGGCCCGCAGAGGCTGGCCCAGGGTACGACGGGGCAGGCGGCGGGAGCCCACGGTCTCTGGGCGGCTTCTTAAAGGGAGGGGGCGGAGCCACATGGAAGGATCGCGGTGGGGGTTGAGGTCACGTGTTTGAGGGCACGTGCGGGACACAACGGCGAGTTGAGGGATCATCGTCGTTGGGGCGGACGCCATGTGACACCTCTGCCCCTGCTGCTGTGTCTTGGGGTTCAATGGAGTGCACGTTCTGGGGGTTTAGTTCTAGGGAGGCAGTGGGTGTGGCAGTCCAGGGAAACAGCCAAAGTCGTAGATCCACGTTGTAGACCGCTCCGTGTTTGATTCCTCACTACGGAAGCGTCCTGGTGCCTCTCTAATCCAGCCCTCGCCCTGCCCATCCTGCCAGACTACAGGGAGCCCTAGCTTCACCTCCTTTTTCCTTGCAGCTCCGGACATCCTGAGCCCAGGTGCCTCCAGCTCAGTGCAGCCATGAGTGCGGAGGTGAAGGTAACAGGGCAGAATCAGGAGCAGTTTCTGCTCCTGGCCAAGTCGGCCAAGGGGGCAGCTCTGGCCACGCTCATCCACCAGGTGCTGGAGGCGCCTGGTGTCTACGTGTTCGGGGAACTGCTGGATATGCCCAATGTTAGAGAGGTGGGTTGCTCGCCGAATAGCCCACAGGAACCTCTTGGGACAATGTGAATTTGACATGTGTGGACAGGGCTCATTTTGGAGCCTCCTATCCATTCAGTTGAAGACAGCTATGGTGATGACAAACTAGCCACTTACACACAGTAAACGAGTAGACCCCTTAGTTTTACCTCGGAGATGATCTATAAAACCCAGTATGTCCGAACCAGCAGTTTGCTAATGGCTATGTCGCTGGACTCCCATGTAGTCAACTGTGGTTCGAGTCCTGGACCCAGTGGCTTAAACTCATGGTGTGTGCTCAAGATCGCGAGAGGAGAATGGAGGAGAAGGGGTTGCCATGTGGCCATCCCCCCTGGGGGGGGATTTCTCGGTTTCTGTCTCTCTGTTTTTCTGGCGCACACATGTGCCCTATAGCAAAAACCGCTCAAAAAACCCCACAAAACCCAGTATGTTTGTTTTTAAGCCGAAGAGCTGGTCATTCAGGATAGGAGGCCTAAGTTCCAATCGTTGGGCCCCAATGTAATAGCATCACCTCGTCAAGCCATTTATTTTAGGGTCTCAGTTTTCTCTTAAAATTGGAAATGATAGGGGCCAGTGGGTGGAGTGGCGGTGAAGGCGCTGGACTCCCACATAGCCAACCACAGTTTGAGTCCCAGACGTGGAGGCTTGCTTTCTCACTTTCCTCTCTCTGTCTCTCTTTGGTGAGCACAGAGGCCCTATAACAGATTATAAAAAATTTACTAAATAAAGTTAAGTAAATGTCTTTTTCAAAAATTGGAAAAGCTATAGCACAGCCCCTCACTGTTATTGTGGAAATCAAGTGAAATTATAGGAAAGTGTAAACCAAACCTAGTACAAGAGGGAGGAATAAACGTGTTCACACAGCCTGTTCGTCTCCCGTGCAGCACACGTTAGGGTGGGTAAGGGAGAAGGCGTCTGCTTCCCAAAGACACAGGGCAGGCAGCTCGGACACAGAGGGTATTCTCACAGAAGTGGCAGGCGGTGGTGTGCAGTAAACAGCCACGTTTTCTAGGACTTCTGTCTTGAGTCCATGGCTTTAGCCTTTGTGGATCATTGTGGGGTGGAGAACACTGGCTGCCTTTTCCCCCCTGCTTTCATCTGCAGTGGAACTACAGAGGATCCATCAAGGTGAAGAAAGTGTAGTGCTGAATTCAAATCAAATTCCTGTTGAGTATTCTGCTTGTGGTCTGGGAGTGCCAGAGAAGGACGAGAGTGGGCTTACCCTTCTGCAGCTTACGCTCCAGTTGAAGACATAAGATGAATGGGTGTACATCTGTAATTATTTAGCACGTATTTCTTGAGAAAAATCAACTACACACAGCTCTGCTAGGTTCCAGTGGAATACCAAAGACTGGTTGATAATGCTGTTGGAAGATGCTCTTAGATAGCACCCTTCTGGCAGGAATTGATTAAGTGCCAGAATGAGCCATCAGTGAAAGGAGGAGAGGAGATCTATATGGGCTGGACTGGGTGATACAAGACGGCCTCAGGTCAGGGCGAGGTGGGTCTGAAGCAGAGGCCACAGATGTCTCAGCCCTGCAGCTGTCAAAGATGAGTGGTGCTGAGACAGGAGTCTGATAAGAGTATGCATGGACTTCTCAAAAAGTTCTTGCAAAACACATACTATGAAAAAAATGCTTGGATTTAAAAAATCTTTTGCACCAGAATAAACTTGTACATTAATTCCATTTTTCTTTCTCTTTTTTTTTTTTGAGAGAATTTTGCTATAAGGCGCGTGTGCTTGCTGGAGAGAGACAGACAGAAAGCGAGAAAGCACCCAGCCAGGGGAGGGGTGGCTGTGCTGCAATCCCTTTTCTTCCATTCTCCTCTTGGGATTTTGGGCATGTGCACACGTGCGCCTGGCGAGTTTTAAGCTACTGAGTCCAGGACTTGAACCATGATCAACTGCATGGGAGTCCAGTGACATAACTATTATACCATCTGCTGGTCCCTTTCTTTTTTTTTTCTTTTTCATTTTGCTTTGGCGAGGTTTTTGCTATAGGGCGTGTGCGCTTGCCAGAAAGACAAGAGAGAGACAGAAATCATCCCCCAGGAAGGATGGCCACGCCGCAATCCCTTCTCCTTTCTCCTCTCGGGATCTTGGGCATGTATGCACATGTGCCTGGAGTGAATTTAAGCCACTCGGTCTGGGACTTGAACTGCAGTCAACTCCATGGGAGTCCAGCAACATTACACCAACTGCTGGTCTCCATTTTTCTATAAACTATTTGAAGTAACCTCGCACTACAGATGGACTAAAAGATACTCAAATTCCAAAATATTTAACACACTCAGGACATACTTTGTAGTGCCTGGTGTCTGTATCTGGATTTTGTTTAGTAATTATTGTTTGTTTATTTTTATTATTTTATTTTGAGCAGAGAGAGACACAGACAGAGAGAAAGGGAAAATGAGAAAGCAAGCTGCCAGGTCCAGGACTTGAACCGTGGTTGGCCATGAGGGAATCCAGTGTCTTATTTACTGCACCACCTCCTGGACCTTGATTTGTTTTGGTTTTGTTTTTTTTTAAAGAATTATTTAACTTTATTTATTTGTTTGTCTGTTTATTTATTTATTTATTTTAATTTGACCAGAAAGGACAGACTGAGAGAGAGAGAGGGCAAGTGAGAAAGCAAGCCACCAGGTCTGAGACTCAAACCACGGTCGGCCATGTAGGAGTCCAGAGCCCTCAACCACTGTGCCACCTGGCAGCCCCTGTGTAACTAGATTCTGAACATGGATGCTTTCAAGCCTGAATTGGGGTAGGAATTGGATGGCGCAAGGAGGCAGAGGGCGTTATGGTAGGGTGGAAGTGAGCCCTTCCTGCTCTGAGAGCCATCCCAGAGGCCTAGCCAGGAGAGGTAACATCAGCCAGGAAAGCGGGGCCAGAAAGTGGAGTTCAAAGAGGGTAAGCGGGGAGGGCAGAGGGAGGCCCTTCCTGTGACCTTGTCTTCCATCATGTCCTTGCAGCTGGCTGAGAGCGACTTTGCGTCTACGTTCCGACTGCTCACAGTGTTTGCTTACGGGACATACGCTGACTACTTAGGTAACTGGAGGGGCTGGGGCTCAGGACATACGCCGACTACTTAGGTAACCCGGGGCTCGGGACATACGCTGACTACTTAGGTAACCGGAGGGGCTGGGGCTCGGGACATACGTCGACTACTTAGGTAAGCAGAGGGGCTGGGGCTCGGGACATACGCTGACTACTTAGGTAACTGGAAACTGGAGAGGCTGGGACTCAGGACATACGCTGACTACTTAGGTAACCGGAGGGGCTGGGGCTCGGGACATACGTCGACTACTTAGGTAAGCAGAGGGGCTGGGGCTCGGGACATACGCTGACTACTTAGGTAACTGGAAACTGGAGAGGCTGGGACTCAGGACATTCGGGGACCCGGGACATACGTTGACTACTTAGGTAACCGGAGGGGCTGGGGCTCGGGACATACGTCGACTACTTAGGTAAGCAGAGGGGCTGGGGCTCGGGACATACGCTGACTACTTAGGTAACTGGAAACTGGAGAGGCTGGGACATACGTCGACTACTTAGGTAAGCAGAGGGGCTGGGGCTCGGGACATACGCTGACTACTTAGGTAACCGGAGGGGCTGGGGCTCTGGACATACGTCGACTACTTAGGTAAGCAGAGGGGCTGGGGCTCGGGACATACGCTGACTACTTAGGTAACCCGGGGCTCAGGACATACGCTGACTACTTAGGTAACCAGAGGGGCTGGGGCTCAGGTCATACGCTAACTACTTAAGTAACCGGAGGGGCTGGGGCTCGGGACATACGCTGACTACTTAGGTAACCGGAGGGGCTAGGGCTCGAGGAATGGAGATGGGAGAAGAGCAGTTTCTTGAGGGACTTTGAGGTAGTGTTAGGTAGACACCCTTGGTGCACAGGGTCAGGGTCAAGACCTGAACTGACATGGAAAACAAGGCAGGGAAAGGAGGCTGGGGTTCCCACGGAACTGAAATCGGGGTTCCCTACCCTTTGTCTTTTTCCCCAGCTGAAGCCCGGAATCTCCCTCCCCTCACGGAGGCTCAGAAGAATAAATTGCGACACCTATCGGTTGTCACCCTGGCTGCCAAAGTTAAGGTAACAGCTCCTCCCGCTTGCCCTGAGCCTGGTCTGTCCCAGGAGGCTGCCCTGGGACAGCCCCTGCCCAGGCTCTTGCTTCCTGCCCTGTGCCCCTCACTTCCTCCGCAGTCGTAATGGGGACCTCACTACTGCACTTCTGTACTTTTGTTCAAAAGAGCAGTTAGGAAGCTTTTTCTTTTTTAGAATTGCTTATTTAATTTTCTTTCTTTTTTTTTTTTTTTTGAGAGATTTTTGCTATAGGGCATGTGTACTCACCAGGGAGACAGAAAGCAAGAAATCACTTCCTGCAGGGATGGCCACGCCACCAATCCCTTCTCCATTCTCCTCGGGATTTTGGCCATGCACGCACACATGCCTAGTGTGAGTTTTAAGCCACCAGGTCTGGGACTCGAACCACAGTTGACTACATGGGAGTCTAGCAACATGACCATTAAGCCATCCCGATTATTATTTTTTAATTTGCTATAGGGCATATGCGCTCACCAATGAGAAAGAACAAGGGGAAGTTAGAAAGCAAGCTGCCAGGTTCAGGATGTGAACCCTGGTCAGCTATGTGGGAGTCCAGCACCTTAACCACCATGCCCCCTGCTGGCTAGGGAGCTTTTCCTATGTTGTTCAACAATTAACCACCTTCCCCACTATATAAAATCCTTCACAGGCAAAGTCTCTGTGTCAAGAACAAGGTTCTCCCCTGATGAAATGCTAGGCTTCTATTTGTTAGAATAAAAATAGGGGCTGGCAGGTGGTGTGGTGGTTGGAGTGCTGGACTCTCATATGATTGACCACAGTTCGAGTCCCAGACCTGGTGACTTGCTTTCTCACTCTCCCTCCCTGTCTCTCTCTGGTCAAATTCAAATAAATAAATTAATTAAGTTAATAATTCTTTATAGGTAGACACACACATGTGTGTGTATAGATATGACACAGAAGTATCTGTTTCTGTGAGGCTCAGTGTTCTGTCAGACACCCCACTGTTCAAACTGTGCAGTTGCTGCTCGACTCTCAAGTTCTCATGATTTTACTTAAGCCAGCCTTTCTATTATGGGATGCCTGGGGAAGATGGTTTGGAGGTGAGCGGGCTGTGATTGGTAGTAACTACAGACCTCTCCCCACTCGCACTGTGTCAGGCTGCCTGGACCCGGCTGTGCGGTACCCCAGCTGTGGCTCAGGGACTTGACAGGCAGATGTCACTTCTTCCTCTGGTTTGGAGAGAGTGATAGAGAGCGTAGTTAAGCGTGTCCCTCTCCGGTGCTGTCTTAGAGGTGGGGTAGCAGTTCTCATTTTGCCTCAGAGCCAGCCTTTTAGAGGAACAGTCGAGGAATAGTTGGGCAGCTGGGCCTGGGCCAGGGGGGAAGGGGAGCCGGAGTCTGGGAATGCCTCTCCAGCACGGGGCTCAAGTCCGGCCTGACTCCCGGGCCCCAGTGCATCCCGTACGCAGTGTTGCTGGAGGCCCTGGCCCTGCGAAACGTGCGCCAGCTGGAAGACCTGGTGATCGAGGCGGTGTACGCCGACGTGCTTCGTGGCTCCCTGGACCAGCGCAATCAGCGGCTGGAGGTCGACTACAGCATCGGGCGGGACATCCAGCGGCAGGACCTCAGTGCCATTGCCCGGACCCTGCAGGAGTGGTGAGACCTGCTTGCTGGCCTGTCCATTGCCTTCACCTCAGCAAAGGGAGCGGTGCATGGGCAGGGGCTGGGCAGGGGCTGGGCAGGGGCTGGGCAGGCTGCACAGGGGGAGTGAGAGGAGGAAGGGAAAGCGCCTTCCTGCAAAGCTGCAGAGGGAAGGAAGGAAGGAAGGGTGGAGGGGCCCTGGGCATAGGAGTCCCAGGGCCTTGGTGTCCGAGCTGGGGAGGGAGGGGAGAGGCACGCTAGAGGGCGTCCTCGCTGGGAGGTGGGTCACCTGTCTTGGGCTGGAGTCGCTCTGCTGCTCTGTAACCACCGTTGTCCAGCCAGCGCCTCTTCCTGTTTCCCTGTCTGGCATCAGGTGTCTTTATTCACTAAGTCGCCCTTCTTTCTCTCCCTCTAATTTGCCTTACGGTGTCTGTACGCACAGGGTAGAGTGAGAAAGCACCCTCAGGGAGGATGCCACACTGCAGGCCCTCCTTTCCCCTCCTTGCGGGATTTTGGGCACACATGCACATTCGCCCAGCATGCTTTCCAAGCTGCCTGGTCTGGGACTTGGGCAGCAGCCAGCCACGTGGGATCCAGACACCTTAACCGCTGCGCCCCTGGCTGGCCCCGTTGCCCCCAGCCTCCTCTGCCCGTTTTGTTTTCCTGTCTTGCACATCCCCCCAGCACGTCCTTACCCTGCCCCGTCCTGTGGGGGTGTGGGGGTGGGTGGAATCCGGGGGCCCTGAAGAGGGCTCCCATCCAGGCGTGGGCAGGGATGCAGGAGCTGAGGTTCCTCGGGAGCCCGCCGTCACAGCGACACCTGGGTCTCCCGAGTCCTGCAGGTGTGTGGGCTGTGAGGTGGTGCTGTCGGGCATCGAGGAACAGGTGAGCCGTGCCAACCAGCATAAGGAGCAGCAGCTGGGCCTGAAGCAGCAGATCGAGAGCGAGGTGAGCAGGAGGCCGAGGCCGAGGCCGAGGCCAAGGCCGAGCCCGGCTCCTCCGGCTAGGGCCGCTGGTCCTGCACGGGCGGGCTTGGGCAGGCGCCCTCAGGTTCTGGAATCTTCTGTTTTTTGGGAGAGGTTTTCACTATAGGGCGCGTGCGCTCACCAGACAGACAGAGAGAGAGACAGAGAGACAGAAAGCGAGAAATCACCCCAGGGGGGATGGTCACGCCGCAATCTCTTCTCCTCCATTCTCCTCTCGGGATCTTGGGCACGCACGCACACGCGCCTGGCGTGAGTTCTAAGCCACCGGGTCCGGGACGCGAATTGCAGTCGACTACGTGGGAGTCCAGCGACATAGCCATTACGCTAACCGCTGGTTCCCAAGGTTCTGGAATCTTCTTGCTATCCCCATTTCTTTCATCCTGGTAGGTGGCCAACCTTAAAAAAACCATCAAGGTTACGACAGCGGCCGCAGCCACGTCTCAGGACCCGGAGCAGCACCTGACGGAGCTGAGGGAACCAGCTCCCGGCACCAACCAGCGCCAGCCCAGCAAGAAAGCCTCGAAGGGCAAGGGGTGAGCCTGCGTGCCGGGGCCACAGCTTTGGGCGCCTGCTCTCGCCTCAGGGCGCCGTTGCCCCGCTGCTTTAGTGATTTGCGTGGGGGTGTGGGAGTGAGGGGAGCTCCAGGGTTCAGGGGTGCCCACACCTCGCTCTCTTTCTCTCCCCCCACCTTGTCAGGCTCCGAGGGAGCGCCAAGATCTGGTCCAAGTCGAACTGAAGGGACGGCCGTTTCTTCCCTGGAGACGTGGGGTCCCCGCTGCCTACCTGCCTCTTAGGAGTCCTCAGAGAGCCTTCCTGTGCCCCTGGCCAGCTGATAATCCTCGGTCCTGCCCCACCCCTGCCCAGCAGAGCCCGCCCGTGGGGAGGAGGCGCGCACAGGCCGTGCTGTCTGCACTCTCCGCCCTCCTGAGCTCTTGTGTCTCGTTGCTCCCACCCCTGCCGGGCTGTCTCCCAGATTTCTTAAGACCTCAGCGTCTGTCCCTGGTCATTGCATCCTCCACTGAGTAGGAGGTGGCCCGGAGGGGGCTGCTCTGTCTCTAGCAGAAGGTGACACAGGTATCCCTCCTCCCCCCATCCCTGCATGCCTGCCCCCCAGCACTCCCTACCCCACCGACGGGCAGCATCGAAGAGCCTGAGAGTCCCGGGAGCCGGGCCGCCATTCGAGGAGACCGGGCACCCTCATCCTGGAGCCCTGTCACGCTGCAGCTGTTCCCTCTCTTGGGTCCCGGGAGTGCTGCTGCCCAGTGACCCCAGGGCCTGAGGGTGACTATTTCCTCGGAGTTTGAGAGGTGGTTCTCTCTCGACCTGGCCACCATGGAAAGCCTGTTGGCAGTCCTGAAAGGGTTTATATCTCCTCCTGTGAGTTCGGTGGGGAAGCGGTATAGATTGTATTAAGAAGAAGAAAGAAAAGGTATATATGCATATATCTATATATAATATGACACAAATAAATCTATGAGAGGTCTATCTGTAAACATGCCCCCAAGCACGCGTCTTCTGTCTGCGATGTTCGTGGGTGGGAAGAGGACTCATTCTCAGTACCCTCACAGAGTGTGGGCTGAAGAGAACCAGGTCCTGTGTGCCATGTCCTTGCCTAGCAGCTGGGGCCAGGCTTGGTGGCCTTGGACAGGTTGCTCTTCTGTGTGTCTGGGTTCGTTGAAAAGTAACGGCTCGTTACTGAGCACCGGGGGTGGGTCCCGAGAGCCCTGCGCCTGCTTTCCAGGAGCTTGATTCACCCTGCTTGCTTCTACCTCTTAGAATTTTTTAAAAATTGTTATTTATTGGGACCAGCAGTTAGCGTAATGGCTATGTTGCTGGACTCGCACATAGTCGACCGTGGTTTGAGTCCCGGACCCGGTGGCTTAAACACGCTGGGCACCTGTGCATGAGTGCATGCCTAAGATCCCGAGAGGAGAATGGAGGAGAAGGGATTGTGGCATGGCCATCCCACCTGGGGGGTGATTTCTCGCTTTCTGTCTATCTTTCTGATGAGTGCACGCGCCGCGCCCTAAAACAAAAAAATCTCTCAAAAAAAAAAAAAAAAACAGTTGATGATGAACCTAACCTAACCACAGATGGTCACATCCATGGCAGGAAGCAGCAGGCTTCTGCCTCTGCCCAGGATGCATGCCTACTGGCCTTGCTCCGAGGCCTGCTAGTTCTCCCAGGGCTGGGAGCTCTCCCGTGACGGCCAGTGGGGCCCTCACGTGAAGTGCTTGCCTTCTGAGAGCCCTGGTGTTGACAGCTGCTCCCCTGAGCGTGTGCCATTTCCAGGTGGCGGTTTAGGACAGACCACTTCACTGCCCTGCTGCTAGACATGGGACCAGGAAATGGGAACAGGACTTTGGGCGTTTGGTTAACAGTGGGCAAGGGGGTCTGAGCGGTCTGAGGCCTGGACTTGGCAGCTTACTTTCTAACTTTCCCCCTTTCTCTGATCAAATTAGAAAATCGGGAACAGCTGATGGTGTAATGGTTACATGGCTGGCCTCCCACATACTTGACTGAGGTTCAAGTCCTGGACCCAGTGATGTAAACTCAGCCGGCGTTGGGCCAGCAGGTGGCATGGTGGTTAGTGTGCTGGACTCCATGTGGCTAACTGCGGTTGGAGTCACAGACCTGGCAGCCTGCTTCCTTGCTTTCCCTCTGTCTCTCACTCTCACTGTGTCCCTCTCTAGTCAAATTAAGGTGAATAAATGAATGATCAAAAAGAAAAAGTTAAATTCTTATTAAGAAAATAGCCTCCTAACAAATAACCAAAAAATAACAAATGAAATTAAGTTTTTTTTTTGAAGAGAGATTTTTGCTATAGGGTGTGTGCATTTGCCGAAGAGACAGAGACAGTTAGGAAGTGAGAAATCACCCCCTCCTCCCCCGGGGAGGTGACCATGCCACAATCCCTTTTCCTCCATTATCCTCTTGGGATTTTAGGCACGGGTGCCCGGCATGAGGTTTTTTGTTTTTTTTTTTTTAAGAATTATTTTATTTAACTTTATTTATTTTAATTTGACCAGAGAGGAACAGAGTGAGAAAGAACAAGAGAGGGAAAATGAGAAAGCAGGCCACCGGTTCCAGAACTTGAACCACGGTTGGCCATGTAGGAATCTGGCACCCTCAACCACCACAGCACTGGCCGGCCGCTCTGGCCTGAGCTTTAAGCCGCTGGGTCTGGGACGCAAACCGTGGTCGATTATATGGGAGTCCAGTGGGGCCAGATTAGGAGTCCTCAGAGAGCCTTCCTGTGCCCCTGGCCAGCTGATAATCCTCGGTCCTGCCCCACCCCTGCCCAGCAGAGCCCGCCCGTGGGGAGGAGGCGCGCACAGGCCGTGCTGTCTGCACTCTCCGCCCTCCTGAGCTCTTGTGTCTCGTTGCTCCCACCCCTGCCGGGCTGTCTCCCAGATTTCTTAAGACCTCAGCGTCTGTCCCTGGTCATTGCATCCTCCACTGAGTAGGAGGTGGCCCGGAGGGGGCTGCTCTGTCTCTAGCAGAAGGTGACACAGGTATCCCTCCTCCCCCCATCCCTGCATGCCTGCCCCCCAGCACTCCCTACCCCACCGACGGGCAGCATCGAAGAGCCTGAGAGTCCCGGGAGCCGGGCCGCCATTCGAGGAGACCGGGCACCCTCATCCTGGAGCCCTGTCACGCTGCAGCTGTTCCCTCTCTTGGGTCCCGGGAGTGCTGCTGCCCAGTGACCCCAGGGCCTGAGGGTGACTATTTCCTCGGAGTTTGAGAGGTGGTTCTCTCTCGACCTGGCCACCATGGAAAGCCTGTTGGCAGTCCTGAAAGGGTTTATATCTCCTCCTGTGAGTTCGGTGGGGAAGCGGTATAGATTGTATTAAGAAGAAGAAAGAAAAGGTATATATGCATATATCTATATATAATATGACACAAATAAATCTATGAGAGGTCTATCTGTAAACATGCCCCCAAGCACGCGTCTTCTGTCTGCGATGTTCGTGGGTGGGAAGAGGACTCATTCTCAGTACCCTCACAGAGTGTGGGCTGAAGAGAACCAGGTCCTGTGTGCCATGTCCTTGCCTAGCAGCTGGGGCCAGGCTTGGTGGCCTTGGACAGGTTGCTCTTCTGTGTGTCTGGGTTCGTTGAAAAGTAACGGCTCGTTACTGAGCACCGGGGGTGGGTCCCGAGAGCCCTGCGCCTGCTTTCCAGGAGCTTGATTCACCCTGCTTGCTTCTACCTCTTAGAATTTTTTAAAAATTGTTATTTATTGGGACCAGCAGTTAGCGTAATGGCTATGTTGCTGGACTCGCACATAGTCGACCGTGGTTTGAGTCCCGGACCCGGTGGCTTAAACACGCTGGGCACCTGTGCATGAGTGCATGCCTAAGATCCCGAGAGGAGAATGGAGGAGAAGGGATTGTGGCATGGCCATCCCACCTGGGGGGTGATTTCTCGCTTTCTGTCTATCTTTCTGATGAGTGCACGCGCCGCGCCCTAAAACAAAAAAATCTCTAAAAAAAAAAAAAAAAAACAGTTGATGATGAACCTAACCTAACCACAGATGGTCACATCCATGGCAGGAAGCAGCAGGCTTCTGCCTCTGCCCAGGATGCATGCCTACTGGCCTTGCTCCGAGGCCTGCTAGTTCTCCCAGGGCTGGGAGCTCTCCCGTGACGGCCAGTGGGGCCCTCACGTGAAGTGCTTGCCTTCTGAGAGCCCTGGTGTTGACAGCTGCTCCCCTGAGCGTGTGCCATTTCCAGGTGGCGGTTTAGGACAGACCACTTCACTGCCCTGCTGCTAGACATGGGACCAGGAAATGGGAACAGGACTTTGGGCGTTTGGTTAACAGTGGGCAAGGGGGTCTGAGCGGTCTGAGGCCTGGACTTGGCAGCTTACTTTCTAACTTTCCCCCTTTCTCTGATCAAATTAGAAAATCGGGAACAGCTGATGGTGTAATGGTTACATGGCTGGCCTCCCAAATACTTGGCTGAGGCTCAAGTCCTGGACCCAGGGATGTAAACTCAGCCGGCGTTGGGCCAGCAGGTGGCATGGTGGTTAGTGTGCTGGACTCCATGTGGCTAACTGCGGTTGGAGTCACAGACCTGGCAGCCTGCTTCCTTGCTTTCCCTCTGTCTCTCACTCTCACTGTGTCCCTCTCTAGTCAAATTAAGGTGAATAAATGAATGATCAAAAAGAAAAAGTTAAATTCTTATTAAGAAAAAAGCCTCCTAACAAATAACCAAAAAATAACAAATGAAATTAAGTTTTTTTTTTGAAGAGAGATTTTTGCTATAGGGTGTGTGCATTTGCCGAAGAGACAGAGACAGTTAGGAAGTGAGAAATCACCCCCTCCTCCCCCGGGGAGGTGACCATGCCACAATCCCTTTTCCTCCATTATCCTCTTGGGATTTTAGGCACGGGTGCCCGGCATGAGGTTTTTTGTTTTTTTTTTTTTAAGAATTATTTTATTTAACTTTATTTATTTTAATTTGACCAGAGAGGAACAGAGTGAGAAAGAACAAGAGAGGGAAAATGAGAAAGCAGGCCACCGGTTCCAGAACTTGAACCACGGTTGGCCATGTAGGAATCTGGCACCCTCAACCACCACAGCACTGGCCGGCCGCTCTGGCCTGAGCTTTAAGCCGCTGGGTCTGGGACGCAAACCGTGGTCGATTATATGGGAGTCCAGTGGGGCCAGAGGGTGGCATGGTGATTGGGAGTGCTGGACTCCCACGTGGCCAACCGCGTTTCAAGTCCTGGATGTGGTAGCATTCGCTCGCTCGCTTACTCTGTCCCTCACATTTAAATAAATAAGTAGTTGGGAGTCCAGCGACGTAACCGTCACACCATCTGCTGGTCCCAATAAATAAGCAATTATTTTTTTTAAAAAAGTGGGCAAGTGAAGGCCAGCAGGTGGCGTGGAGGGTAAGGTAGCTCCGTTCACACAGCTCTCTTCGCAATTTGAGTCTCAGACCTGGAGGCTTCAGAATCCTGCCAAGTGCCTGGGTGCCCAAATCCCATGAGGAACCGAGAAAGGGATTGTGGCATGGCCGTCCATCCTGGAGGCTGACTTCTCACCCTGTCTCCCTCTGTTTCTCTCAGGCAAGCTCCTACGCCTTATGGCAAACTAAAAAAGCCATTTTTTAAGTAGATGATACGGGTTTATTGTCTTGGCCAGGCCAGTGGGCCCCATTTCAGGGACTAACTCTCGTGGCTTCTTATTTTTGCTTTGCTCTGAACAAGCTTGTTGAACCTGTTGTGTCTGCCTGGGAAATGAACCCCTTCTTCCCACACTCTCCAGGATCTAGGAGTTGCTAATGCCAGGGCTGGCAGGTGGCATGGTGGTTAAGGCACTGTACTTCCCTATGGCTGACTGCCGTTCGAGTCCCAGACCTGGTGACTTGAAATTCACACTGGGCACGTGTGCTCGCCCCCAAATCCCAAGAGGAGACTAGAGGAGAGGGGATTGCTGCCTGGCCATCCCTCTGGGGGGTAATTCCTCATTTTTCCTCTGTCTCTC